GTTTCCGATATTCATTTCATTATTCCTCAGCAGATTGCAACAAGATGAACATCTAGTGTAAAACTTTGTCACTTGAGAAAAAGTGATATTGTGAGGGACAATTTTGGGACAAACCAAAATGGATACAACAACAACAACCCAGTTGAATCCCACTACAGTAGGGTCTGGGGAGGGTGTGTGTACGCAGACCTTGCCCCTACTCGGAAGTAGGGAGGCTGTTTCCAAGAGACCCCCGGCTCAACCTGCACAAAATTATGGAAGGGAAGACAGTATAGTACGGGTAAAGCACCAAGTACAAGCAACAAGTACAAGCAATAACAAAAGATTCCAAACAAACACAACACACTACAAACAACCTCTACAGCACCGAGCTCCTACCCAGCTACTCTAATCTTAGTTCTCCAAAGGTTCCTATCTAAGGCCATATCCTCAGTCAGGGTGAGAAGTCCTAAATCCTGCCTAATCACCTCCTTCCAATTCTTCCTAGGTCTACCCCTTCCCCAAAATGGATAAAAGATACAAAAAATAGTCAAAGGGTGCAACAATTTAAATTATAAATTTTATGCCACCATTCACATTTAGTAGTGAAAAAAGGTGTTGAACTGGAGATGATGATGAACAGTGTAAGTTCAAATGTCACTAACAACTACTGAGCTATTCTTTGGCTAAGCTTGATTGCTTAGTTGTAACTTGTAACCAAGTGATGAAATGTAAAATAAAGGTTCCTCACTTCCTAAGAGCACGAGTGTAAAGCATGTACACACAAATTCAAGCACTCAACGGATTGAAAATTGTATATTGCAGCAAACCTGGACACCAGATATAGCTTTTACAACAGTTGACTTCCCATGAGCCACGTGGCCGATTGTACCTAAAAGAGGATAATAAAACTTAGTATCGAATGAATGATGACAGCAAAAGCTTGACCGCATGCAAAAAAAAGATACACGGAGTTTACACTGCAATGAACTTACCAATGTTAATTGTGGCCTGACGAGAGATCACTTCAGGTGATAGTGGATGAAGTTGAGTTACATCCAACTTACTTAAATCCTGCTCCATCAAACCTTTCCTAGACATCTTTTCTGCTCGTCCACTTCAGTTTTCACTCAAATTCCAATCCTGGCATTTAAAAAGTGACCCAACGAATTTCACTTACCAGATTATACACAGTCCAAATCATATCGGTTTCCTCATAATCTTTACATATGCATGCATAATCAATAAATATCAATAAGGTTAAGTTTTGTTCAGATTGTGGTGAAGAGTGCGAGAAAAACGAACTCAATCGCGACTATAATTGAGATTTCGAACAGAGATACGCAAAATCGAACGCAGCCAAGCTCGAATTCAACAAATACTCTGAGATAATGAACTAAACAAGAAAGATCTTAGCATAATAGACAAATATCTAAGTTTAGAGCTCGTTACCTTCGTAGAACCGTCCCAATGGACTCGGACGAACTTGTTGCCCACGATCTCCTTCGTGCGTGTGGGAAGACTAGCCGGCGAAACCCTAGCTCGCTGTTCTCTGTTTCTCGTTCGGGTGAGACGGTTCTTATTTCTTAGTAGGTGAAATGTAAATTTTCTTTCACTTTTCTATCAAGTGAACTAATTTGTATTTTTATAAATTGATTTGCTTTGCTAGTTATTGAGTATTTTTCTTGTTCCAAGTTTAATATTGAAACATTTTTTACTATTTTTGTTACTTATTTGATAAAAAAATATAATTTCATCATCTTTTGTTTGTATTTTGAATAATTTTTTTGATGTAATTTTTATGTCTTATAAATTTTATTTTTTTAATTTTACGCCAACTTTTAAATAAATTAAATTAAAAATAATTTAAGCCAAACCTTATAAACTCCGTATTTTTTTAGAGGATAGTTATTGTTGGCATTCATACTCATTGTACTTCATATGATGAGTTAAGGATCAAACTAGAAATAAATATATCTCATATCTTCAAAATAAAAGTTTAAACTTAAACTCCCCTAAATATGAGTAATTAAATTCATTAATTTAAAAGTTAAAAAGTAAAACAGAAGTAAAACATTAACAATATGCCCATTTAGGAGTAGAAACTAATATTTAAAACAGAAATTATATTATACAAAGTAACATTTACAAATTAAAAAATGACCTTATTGTTCCTCAAATGCGCCATACAACTGCCGGTGATGGTAGCACCCCATCCGGCACCGATGATGCCGGCGATACACCGCCCTAGTCGACATCGGCTCTCCAACCGCCATTTGTGATGCCGCCGAAAACACACCACATGCTGCCATCAATTGAACTTGCATTGTTGCAGCGATCTGCCACTTCAATCACATTTGTTTTTTTACGTCGTTATTGTCGTGCTTTGTCGCCGCCCCCGACAGTGCCACAGTCTACCACTTTCACCATCACATGGTCATGGTGCCACAATAACTATTAAAGAAAAAACTATAAATCCAATGTCAAAAATGGTAATAATGACAAATATGTCACTGTATAAGGTTATATGTGACAATGTATAATGTAAAAAAAAGTAAAATGCTGAGAATAATGTAGGTTGCCAACATACAGTAAAATCACAGTACTAACACTCAGAAATGCTAATATGATGCTAAAAAAATTTGCCTTTCCGTAAAAGCAAACTAGAATTAATTAATTAATCATCAAAACTCATGATTTACACCAACCACTCCTTGAAGCAATCTCGATTTCAAGAAATTGAGAGATGCTTTGAAGAGATCTTATTTACAACATATAAATTTGAGTTAGGGATGATGAATACTTGAAACTGCAGAAGAACAGTTCATAGTCCTCTCACTGAAAACTTCTATAAATGGAACCATATATCCAGAAGAAGTTTCTGGCGAACTCCACAAGTATGATAACAGAAGACATGCCTCTGAAGCAGGCAAGCAACAAGGTATGAAAGACATTTGGGCAAAATCGATACTTCCCCATCATTCCCTTCCACAAATAACGCGAGATCAAGAAGGTAAGTTGTCTATCTCCCAGTTAAGTTGTCTATCTCCCAGTCTGGTGTGCCACTAAGCATCAATATGTGGTAATGAGTGTTGCATCAAAAAACAACCCTGAACTTTGGTCGGGAAAATGAGGCTCAATTCTTTTTGCTTTGTATACATATAGTCATTTTGTGTCGTGTGTGTGTGTATATATATACACACACACATACATACATACACGTTGTTCCTATGTGTACACACAAATTGTACATAAAATTAACTATATTTTTAGTCCTTAAAAATAGACAACTTTTGTTTTTGATTCATGAAAAAAATTGTGTAAGTCATCTTTACATTTTTTGGTAATGGTTCTTATACACAATCAACACTTCTAATTGGTTTAGATAGTACACTCGTTCCATGTCCTAAATTATATTATTATTCATATTACATCTTCAATTTCTAAATTTCTTGTGAATATATAAAATATACTCCGTAATAAAATTTGGGAATTGAGGATATAATTTGATTGACACAATCTAGACCATGATATTTGTGTCTATGATAATTAGAAATGCAAGACTAACATATTGAGTGTAAAATAAATATGATATCTTAATAAATTATAAATCTTAATTATGTTTAAGGACTATTTTTAAAATAAAAATTTTTATAAATATATATGACTTAAATAGAAAAATCTATACATGAAGGAAAAACAAAAGTCATCTATTTTACAAAAATTACAAATGTCCTCAAACATATATTTAACCCTTATATGTTTTACCCAAAGTTTAAATAGTGTCCATAAATTTTGTGCTTACATTAATTACAAATTCATAACTTTTAACAATAACTTAAAAATTTATATTTAAAAGAAATTTGATACTGACATATTTAGAATAACATGCCGAATAATGCATATAATGTAGAATTTATAAAAAAAATAATACAAAATAGACGTTAATTTCGTAACAGTTAGAATATAGAGATTATGTATGAACATTTTTGATGAATTTTTTTTATATTTATCCTTTTTATGAATTACTATAATTGGGTTTTAGAAACTTATAATTAGCCCCAAGATTTAATCGGAAAAAAATGATCTTCATTTTATACTTCAGCATGCATTCAATACCAATTATTGTTGCCAAATAAGTGTTGTGCACTTAGCAAGGCAAGTGTTGTCTAGAGTATATCATACGAGTTTGAATTTTGTCAACTTCGCTAAAAGTTGTGTTAAACATAAGACATTTGTAAGTACTAACTTCTAAGTGCAGACTCCACTATTTATACTCAATATGTGATTAGAACCCTATTAATCTTTTCTCCGTTGTCTGTCTGACTCGTTTGGAGGGGCCATCCTCTATTGTTTTTTATTAACAAGTTGTTATTTTGAGCAAGCAAGGGTTCCATGACATTAAAACCTCATGTCATGTTCCAATGACATTGGAACACATGTCATGAGAGTACTCATGGACCGCTACAATGTCTTATTTGTAAAATTGACGGTTTATATTTTCTAACTCCTCCGGTAAACCTCCGTCCTTTTAATTACATCCCAAGTTATTTTTGACTTAAATTAATTTAAGGATGCAATTGAAAGGAGTGATGATGGTTTATTAGGGGGTTAGAAGGAATAAAAATCCTTATTTTACGAAAAGGGCATCCTCTGATTTTGAGAAGTGAGTATTGCCACGTGCTAATCTCTTATCACTCTAAAACCAATGAATTACCGGTTATGCCCTCACATTTCGCCCCTAAAACTTTTGTCCTTGTCTGAACCAGCGCCGCGCTAATCAGACATCAGAAGATTATCTCTATCCGTCCGATGCGACACGTCCCCCCTCTAATCCAACGGCTCAAAACACCCCATTCCATATTTCAAAAACCTCCAAAAATCTCCGTACACACCTGGAAGCCTCCCCTCTCTCCGCCGTACAGACAAAACCGTCAGTCGCCTGAAACCGGAATGGCCACCGCCAAAAACCGTTCGCCTATTATTCCGTTCTGTGCGTACATATTATGCAGATTACCTGACAGAGGGAATTCGATCAGATTGAATTGGGCCAATCGGCCTTCCACGGCGGCGGACGCGGCGTTTAACTCCCCTTTTTTTTGCGCCGATGGACGACATCGACGGGAGAGGCGATCGGCCGGTGAGCTTCATAGATTTGTTGAGTTTGAGCATCGACTGCGAGGAACAGAGGCCTCTGTTGCAGTTACTGCCTCCTCATCAGGCGGTTTGTCTTCGTCCTGATGATTTTTCTCTTCCGCGGTTGCCTTCCCCGGAGATTCAGGCTTTCCGGTCGCCTTCGGTGATGAATCTCCATGGCGGCGGTGGAGACTTGGAGATGAGGGTGAATTGGTTGAAGCAGGAGAACGGTTCCTATGGATACAGCAACAACGATATTTCTGCCGGGGATATCTGCTTCCGTCACACGCCGGATCTCCGGTTACCGGGAAGTCTTCAGTCGTTGCTTTTTCCGGAGATGCTGCCTTTCCGGTCATCTAATGCGGCGTCTTCGGTGACGAATCTATGTGGAAGCAGTGCAGTCTTGGAGGTGAAAGGTCCGAAGCAGGAGAACCGTTCATATGGTTCCAACAACAACGGATGCGCCATTTCGGCCGGAGATTTCGGCTTCCGTCTCCCGCCGGATCTCCGGTCACAGGAAAGTCTTCGGTCGTTGCTTTTTCCGGAGATTATGCCATTGCGGTCGTCTAAAGCTGTACCGGCGGCGTCTGAGGTGATGAATCCATATGGAGGCGGTGTAGACATGGCGGTGAAAAGTCCCAAGCGGGAGAACCGTTACTTCGGATACAAAGCAGGGGATTTCGGATTCGGTCACTTGCCGGATCTCCCATTTCTGGGAAATCAACCGCCGGTTCCGGTGAATAGTCATTTCGGATCCCGGCCTCCCCGCTGCATTTTCCAAAAAGAGATGATCGGAAACCACCAGAAGGCAGCCTATCCTTATCGTCCGTGCGAGAAATCCCTGGCGGCGAGGTTGAAGACGGAGAAGGTGAGTAGATCCAGCGAATTGGCCAGAGAGCGGAGGAGGAAACAGAGTGAGAAGATCCGGAATCTGCAGGAGCTGATGCCGTGGGAGACGAAGATGGACACGGCGAAGATGCTGGGGGAGGCGTACAAGTACGTCAAATTCCTCCAGGCGCAGGCCACCGTCCTCGAGAGCATGCCGGTTCGCGGCGATCTTCCCTCTCATCATCAGGAAAACCCTAGCTCCGGCGTCTGCTGGCCGCTCGCGAAGCTCAGCCGCCGAGAGCTATTGGAAGCGGCGGTGAACTCCCCGGCCGTCCAGAGGTTCCTTTACTCGAAAGGCTACTGCATCTGTTCGTCGGAACAGGTGGCTCAGCTCGCCGAGAGACTTGGGTCAGCCTGAGCATTATATTGTCAGTTTATCATTATCATTTCCGGCGGCAGCATAAGTAGTGTGTTTGTCTATGTTTATCATTATCATTTGGTATGTTTGTGTTGTGTTTGTCTGTGTGAAGTATGGGTGCACCCATGGTAACACACATGTAGTGGCACCTTAACATTTTCCATTTTATACGGTATGTTTGGATGGAGGGAAGTAAAGTTTTAGAAAAATTTGTATTAAATTAAAATATAAGTCATTTTTCAATGTATGATTTAAACGTTTTTATTTGATAAATAAGACATAATAATGTATAGTGGGCGAAATAATATCTAGTGATGGTGAACATTTACAAAGTTTTTATCAAAATGCCCTGTAAATGTTTCATATTTGGTGGACTACCATGTAAAGTTGAATTGACGGAAATGTCCAAGCGTGTATGAGCGACGCGCTTCTTAGAAAATGAAAAGTTATGTCATTTAACGAAGTGTAAACGACGTTTCAAGTTTAAATTTAAATAAAAAATCTGAGAATGGGCGAAACGACGTCGGAAGAGACTTTACAAAAACCCTCCAAAAACATCTTCCTTCATCGTGCGACCATTGAGTTTTTGATCTCTGTGTGTTCTATCCCCCCTCTTCGACACCTGCAAAAGTTGATCGAAACCCTACCCATCCAAAGTCACCGATCTCGGAAAACCTTGAATTTCTACAATGAGGACGAAGAATGCTTCTGTGTCTTACTCCAAGAATGGAAATGATGAGTATTATGCGGAAGAGACGATGACAGACCACAGCGGAAGCCCTAAGGCCACACAAGGAACATTCGAAGTCAGAAACTTGATTATAAATGAATTATTCTCTCTCCAAATAACCACTCGACAATGGTTTTGGAATTTTTTGTCTGGTCGACTCCATCGATCGACTAAAATAAGTGTCGACCAACTGGTCGCACTAATTGCATGTCATTCCGTATGAAATTCGTTGACATTATATACTGTTATATAGGTTCCGGCAATAAAGACGAAAGTAAATTCAAAGGATTTTCCACATGTGAAGCTGGCTGTGAAGTCTTCACCGCAAGACTTCCAAAAATTGATGAAAGAAAAGTTATGCGATCATATGGAAATCCTATAAGTGTTTAGGAGTGATTCTCCTTTTGGTGCTTGGGTGTTTTGCGAAATCGGCGACAGCCGCGGTGAACTAAAGCTACCTTCCCTTACCTCTCTCAATTTCTTCCCCAAACAAGGTAGATTTTAATTTCTACCTTATCCTACCTTTGCCTCCCTCCATCCAAACACAGCGTTTGAAAATTAGCAAGTTCTCTTCTTTTTCTTTAATTTTTCGCGATCTTAAATTTAACATTTTATATTACTCCGCATAAAAATGTAGTGCTTAAAAACTACTCCCTCCATTCCTAAATAAATTTCTCTTTTTGACTCTTTGAGGATTTAAGGGAGGAATATTTTTGTGTTGAGTTTCTAAAAATATATTTGATGTGATGTGTAATAGTAAGATGTGATATGTAGATTATTTATAAAAAGGTATGATGTGATAGGTAGGGTATGAAAAAGTAAGGGGTAAAAGGGGGTTTTTAAGGGAAAAGAGAAGTTTATTTGGGGACAAAGAAAAAATGAAAGAGGAAATTTATTAAGGGACGGAGGGAGTATATGGGGTACTATATGTATTTCAAAATTAACCTAGTGATATTGAATGTATGTTTTCTCTAAAAACATTTTCTTTTTTACTTTTCATTATTCATCTAAAAAATCTTTTCATTTTTTTAAATATCATTTTTGTTTATTAGATCTTATTTATTCATATATTTGCTACTACCTCCGTTTCTCAAAAGAGTTCCTCTTTTGACTTTGGGGGAAAATAAGGAAGTGTTAAATTGTAGTTGACTTTTCAATTTTGCCATTGATGTGATGGATAAAAGTAAGATGTGATAGTTTAGTTGTTAGTGAAAAAATATGATGTGATAGGTAGGGTATGAAAAAGTAGGGTATGAAAAAGTAGGGGTAAAAGTGGTTTTTTAATAGAAAGGGGAAGTGTTTTAAGAAAAAACAAAAAAAATGAAAGAGGAAGGGTTTTAAGAAACGGAGGGAGTATTAATCAATCTGTCACAAAGCACATTTTTCTTCCTTTTCTATTTGCTCTTTGAGCTCCGGTCTCTTGGAAACAATTTATCTACTTTTAGTAGAGATAAGGTCTGCACAAAATATCCTCCCGAGACCCTACTATCTACTGGATTGTTGTTGTTGTAATCTACTTGTCACATTCAAGTTAGTTCATTTTTTGGAAAGTCTTTCCCAATGTAATACAATCTCGTTAAATCCCTTAAAAGTCAACACGGTTGAACTTTGATAGTTTGTAATCTAGTAAATTGATTCGATCCAAAATTTGACCTCAAGACCTAGAAAGTAGTGAAGAGGGCCAAGGTCCTTCATCTGAAATTCTCGTTGCATGGAATCGATAAACATGGTGATAAGAGAGGAGTCACTACCCGTGACAATAATGTCGTCCACATATAACAGAACAATGAGAATACCACGAGCGGAGTGCTTGACGAAAAAACTGGTGTCGTGCTCATTTTTACCAAACCCATAATCATGTAGAAAACCAGAGAGCCGCTCGTACCAGGCCCGGGGAGCCTGTTTAAGGCCATATAAAGACTTCTTTAATCTGCACACATGATGTGGGAATTTCTGATCAACATATCCAGGTGGCTGCTTCATGTAAATCTCATCCGGGACGATGCCATGCAGAAAGGCATTGGAGACGTCCAACTGATGCAGCGGCCAGTCATGATTCACTGCAAGTGAGAGGATGAGGCGGATAGTCTGCTGCTTGACCACCGAACTGAAAGTCTCGGAGTAGTCCAAGCCATATTCCTGTGAATACCCTTTTGCCACCAAGCGAGCTTTGTACC